GGACCACTTATTTTGATGTTCCAACTGGAAGAAGAACATCCTGGACTATCCCTTTAAATATCAAGGCTTAAAGGGGATCGAAACATCTTATTCTTAATGTGTGCAAACCATTCTAAACAACCTTTACCATTTCCATGTGGTTTTATTGGTTTACATTAAACCAGACAGAAAAATCCACCCGCAAAAAGAACCTCCTTCACTATACATTTAATACTTATGTTCCTAGAACTTACAGGAACCTTTTCCTCAACCCTAAATTAACTTTCCAGGAATAACCTACTGGAAAGTTTCCAAAAACACAACTGATGTTGGAAACTTTACAAAAAACTGACAACTGTACAGAATTTCTCATGTTTTTTTTGTGTCCTTAGTAAACTACCCAAGAATGTAACTGTGACTGTCTTTGTTCTTGCAACAAAAATACCTTCCTTTACTCCTCTAGCATGGTGGGATCTCTCCTCAAACTTAACAGGAACATTTCCTGATCTTAGTAGTTATGAACCTTGCATGCCATTTCCAGGTATATACAGGAATTATCTTGTAGGGAACTTCCTATGTATATTCTTTTAACATGTTATTAACCTTCCCAGAACTTAACGGTGATGTTCTTTGATGATTAATAAAACTTCTCTTCGATTTCCTGGGAACTTTGCCAGAGTTCAACTATTAGAATTCCTCACAAAGTCCTGGCAAAATAATCCCCCAAAATAGCCCTACATGTCTTGTATTTAGGGCATTTAAAATCATGAATAGCTTCATTACCATTGGAAAATTAAGATAGAAATATATTTCCTAAAAATTTATATTACATGTCCATTCTTTAGATGTATATTTTTTGCTTTAATAGTTTTTGGAAAAGGCCAAACATTCTCTGAAGAACCCAAAATAAAGTTAAAATCAAATTCTTGGAATAGGAGTCTTCATAAATATGAATGATATATAATAAAGTTTGATGCCTGGTCCAAATTTGTGTTTGTTTTGAATTGTGGTCCGACAGATTAGCACCATCGTTTCCAGCATCCCTCGCCTGGACTTCCTCAACCTAAGCATGAACCCACTGAGTGGTGTGCAGCTGCAGCCCAGCGTGGCCGACGTCTTCTCTCGCGTTCGACGACTTGTCCTCATCAACACACAAGTCAGCTGGGACACCGTGCACACACTCACACAGCACACACCAGAGTAAGATAGACGCATGCAGATGTTCCCGGTAGCGGTGCTGAAAGATTTTTAGGTTTTTCACTCTGCACTGTCATTTCTTCATCCTGCCCAGGCTGAAGGAGCTCTTTCTGTGCCTGAATGGCTACGACACAGTGTCAGAATCCCAGGCATCCTGCCCATCACTGAACCTGCTGCAGATCACAGGCAACCAGCTCCAGGACTGGTCCGAAGTCAGGAAGTTCGGCCTGCTGTACCCCAGTCTGAGCACACTGGTGCTTGCCAACAACGGCCTCAGCTCTGTGGGGGACACCAAGGAAACACTGGAGCATCTCTTCCCCAACTTGCGCAGCATCAACCTCAACAACTCAGGTTGGTTTCTCTGTGCATGTTCAGTTTTTAGGGAGTGGTTCAAAGAAAGAATGAGAGCAGGAAACAAATCCTTTTCCTTTTCAAACACAGGTCTCAGTAAGTGGGAGGACATTGAAAGGCTGAGCTTCTTTCCTAAACTGGAGGACGTCAAAGCTCAGGGGATTCCGTTATTACAGACATATAGCACCCAGGAGAGACGCAGCCTCCTTTTAGCACAGTTAGTTAAACACTCCTTCTAGCATCATGGCTGCTTTTCATTATACGCTTTATGATGTAAATATTTAATGACCACGTATCCCTCCCCAGACTGCCATCCGTGATGGTTTTAAATGGGAGTGCAATTTCCAAAGGGGAGAGAGAAGACGCAGAGAGGTTCTTCATCAGATACTACCAGGACTGTCCTCAGCGGGAGCTTCCTCAGAGGTATATATTTTACACCAGTCAATGTTTTACCCTAAATGTATCAAACACTGAAAGGCAAGATCTAAAAATTGGCTTAAAATATGATGGACCTGTCTCCTCATTATGTTTCTCACCCACGAAATCTGACCGTGCGGAGAGTTTAGGACCCTTTTATTATTAATATTTATTATTTAAGTGTAATTTTTGTTTTTGTTTTTTAGCACTTTGATTATACTTATGTGCACTATAGTAAATATTAGTGTTGTGCCGATGCCATTTTTTGGCCCCGATACCGATACCCGATACCTGGCTGTGCAGTATTGGCCGATACGGATACCATAATAATGTAAAATAATTGCCATCATGGCTTTGTCAAGCTGCTGCCTACCTTTGTGAAGCAGGAAAA